TGAAGAGGAGGTTAATCAACCTTCGGGAATTTCATCAGATAATATGGAAGGTTCAGAAATACTTAAACGAGATATACTTACTGATGATATGAGCTATGCTAACATACTCAATTTGAAACCCTTAATTGATTTCGTTCTTGAACTTGGATTGGGTGTTCCCATGAAAGGGCTGAACCAGATTGATGGTTTCCTAATTGATGGTGTTAACCCTATTAAGAACATTCAAGACAGGTCGGAAATAGGATTTACTGAAAAATGGAAGATTTACACTAACAGATTCCTAATGTCTAATCATGAGATCAACCCTGCTATTTTCCAATTGGCTTTGATAAGTGGTGAACATGCAAGGAAAATACCATCAATTTGTATATTGATTCAAGAGAGGAACTGGCTTAATGTTTTAAAATTTGTAATGATGGACTGTGATATATTAAACATTGCTTTGGAAGGGGTGAAGTCATGGCACAAGTCTGATAGTTTCAGATGTGAGGGTGTTACTTCTATGATAGATAATCAAAATGGGTTGGAAGGAGAATTTTCTGGGAATGTTACAGAGTATGAGGGATATGTTTCTGGTGTTGGAGTTGTCATGTATCTGATGTTTGTTAAAGATCTCAATCCTGGTCGTTTCCCTGGGGTCATTATAGGAGGTGAAGTGGTTATGGGACTACCAGTAGATGATATACCTATTCAAGATAGACGTGTAGGTTTTGATTACAGGTATCATATGGCAAGTATTGATCCAAGACACAAAATACTCATGAAAAGAGGTATGAACTGGAAAGAGGACAATGTGTTGAGCTCAATGGTTTTTTGGAAATGGATGGGAAAGTATGTTGCTGATAATTTTGAATATCAGTTGGGTAAAATCAGTATGGCCCGGGATCCTACTATTCAGGCTACTATTAGTAGATGGGAGACTGAAGCAAATGGACAGGTGAAAGTGAAACAAGGCTTGAAAAGTGAAATGTTTTCTTCTGGTGAAGAATTTGTCTATCTTCAAGAAAACCAACTTTGGAAGTTTTGCATGGATAATAGGCTTTCTTGTTCCTCAGTTAGGAGAAATGCAACTGGAATAGTGGATATCCTTACCAACCTGCTAAAGCCTTTGAGGTTTTCCTTCTCAAATATGTTAGCTACTGAAGATGCTGAAATTTCAAGAAGTGAAGCAACTGAAACTCACATATTTGAGTTATATCCTGTAGCAAGAGCTATTAGCATATGGAAGAATGAGCAATGGATGATGAGTGAAGATCAGTACCAGCATGAACAAAGACACAAGACTAATATTGATGATTGGAAGGAAGAGGAGCTAATGCTGTTTTTGCAAGAAGTAGTGAGAAGGAAGATTCAAGTCATGGAGTTTAGGATCCTGAAATTTGAAAGATATTGGGAAGGAAGAGGTGCAAGGAAGAAGAAGAAGAAGGAGAAGATGGATGTCTCCTTCCGCCCACCTTGAGGGCAAGGTGGATGTTTAGGGGGGGGAGTATTGTTAGGGACCTACCCATTAGTGTTATACTAATAATAGAAGTAATAATAATAAAAGTAGTAATAAGGGTCTCTATTATAAATAGATGGGAAGGGGGGAGTAGTAACGAGGCTTTTAGACATTTGGTCTTGGGACTGGGAAGGATACGAGACTGAACATCTCGATCTTTTGGGGCTTCAGCTTTGGGGGCTTCGGCCTTTGTACTGATTACTGTTCATCTTCTTCAATAAAGAATTTCAGTTGTTTTTCTTGATAATTTTCTGTCAATTGTTCTGGTTTTCTGGAGGTTTCTATCAAAAATTTTAAAAGTTTCAATCGCTTGCTTAGTTGGTCGAGAACCGTGTTTTTTAAACTTTCAACCTTTGGTTCTAGTAAAAGCTGATAAGCATTTAGGTCTGCGACGTCGTTTCCTTTTTGTTTGTATCAGTTGACCTAACAGCGCCGTTTGGTGAAGTTAAAAAATAAAAACATAAGCCGCGGAACAGATCTGGGACAGAGCTGGAATACTGCAATAGCCATGGAAAACGACGGGCAAGGTGGAAGAAGACCACGGGAGGTATGAAATTTATACCTTAACATTTTGGCGAAGGGGTAGCGCCGGCACCGGCTCGCCCTGGCCGGGTTCCGCCCTTGGCTGTATCTTAAGGTGTTATGACCTACATACTTTTTCTTAAAGGAGTGTACTATGTACTTATATAACATACGGAGTACTTTATTGAATATATAGTATATACAATACACACCAAATCAAATATACGTCCAAGTAGAATAAAATGACAATAATAATAACATCGAATATGTTTATATAAAGACAAGCGCATAATTTTATATATAAAAAGTTACATCCGGACCCGTAATTAGCCAAACAGCAAAGAAACAAATATTAAAATGTACAAATGTCTTTTTTTATCTTTTTATCTATTAACTGCTAAAAGCAAACAACTAAATTAACAAACATCTTTTTATAACCCGCCATACTAATTCGCCGGTCAAATCCACTGACTCCTGGTCAAATTTGCTGACTCAATCCGCTAACCGCTAACAACTAATTCCCAAACAAGCCCATTGTTTAGAAAGTTGATACAACATGGTGCAAACTTTAAGAAGGATGGAAGCTAAAGGAAGAAAGTATAACTACACAATTGCCATGTTTACATGCTTATAAAGGTATTTAATAAAAAGTACTTGAAGAGCGACAATCCTAGTTTTCTCCTTAGGCATTGGGATTTTGGATGTTCCCCGGCGACAACGGCGAGTGGGACGCTACTTTTCCTTTTTCTTTTGATCTCAACAGCTGTATAAGAAAGGAAGTTTGAGGCTGTTAAGCAAATATGGCTAGAACACGTCTGTTGGAGGAGCTTTACTTTCATTTTGTTGTCTACAAGGAGGGGGTTTGTGCTAGTTTTTGAAGGCAATGAAATGGGTGCGTGTTCAGAGAAGGCCCTGTGATGATTTTGAAAGATTACTTGATCAAACTTACCATTTTTTGGGAGATGGAGGATGACACTGAAGGATAAAAAAAGAGGCCATGGGGGGCTTGGGGAAGCCCGGCCTGTGCGGCTGTGCCTTTAGGTATTTTGTCGAACCCCATTGTAGAGTGGCCTTTCACCACAGTGGTAGTTGTGGGTGGATCCCTAAAGCTGGCTCGAGGCAACCTCTGCATGGAAATCTTTCTTGTCAGTACCTGAAACCGGAAATGTTGCTCACAATCGATTATTTTCGCTACGGTTGCGGGAAGCTGGTCAAACCAGTGTTACTCTCTTCCAGTAGTTGGTCAAACCTTTGTTGCAGTTGGTAGTTGATCTATTGGTAGTTGATCTATGATCTGCTTAGCCCTTTACGTGGACTCGTGGACATCAATTCCATATCTGACCACATGGTTTTTATTTTCATTTTGGCATGATATTGTATTTTCTTTTTGAGTAGGGTTATCTTAATATAATTTTTCCCTCCCAGCCACAAATTATACAAAGGACTTGTCAACATTCGAAATCAGAAGAGACCTACTTGCTCCTGAATGCAGAGATCAGAGTACTAGAATTATATGCGCATGAGCCATGACATTTCTAAAAATGAATTAGACTCTCTTTGGGAAAACAAATCAATATGGAAATAATTTTCCACATTTTATGTGTGTGGTTTGAAGAGGAGATTAAATCTTCTTCTTCTTCATTACCCCATCGCCGCAAAGGCTCCCACCTATGGTGGGTGGCAGGGTGGGGTAAGGGGGGTCGGATGTACGTAGTCTTACCTCTAACCCAAAGTACAGAGAGACTGTTTCCGGATGACCCGTAGTGAAATTCGCGTCGGAAAATGCATGGACTGACTACTGCTTCATAACAAAGAAGTGCAGACAGTTTAGTGAGCCATTTTGCTTTATTCCATCATATTCCCAAATCTCAAGCCAAAAAATAGTGAGTCTTTGGCTCCATTGCAAATGATGGAAAGAAGAGGAGATTAAAATGAAAAAGAATTTCATCTCAAAACATGGAACATGACTTCATCTTTTTGTTGAATGCCACATCTGGATTTTTTTTACCAACACAATCACTAATTGTAGCTACCGCCACCCACAGTCTCCACCACCACCCCTACAACCACCTCTAGCTCTGCTACCCCAACCATTACCACTACCGCCGCCACCCAACCACCTCAGCTACTACGTTGCCCCATCTTTTACGCCACCTGTGCTCCTTCCTACCTCGCCACGTATGCCATTACCATTACTGTTGTCACTACCCACCTAGCCACCCCCATCATCGACATCACCACCCCACAACCATTGCCAGTTTCCCATTATGCCATTTCTTTGTTAGCATATTTAGATTTATTTATTATTATATTATTATTAAATACATTATTATTGTAATAGAAAATCATAGTTATAAATTTGAAATACTTGTTTGTATTTTTTATAATACGCACTAAACTATTTTCTACATTCCACGAAACACTGCAAAATGATTTCTGGAAAAAACTAAAAATCATTTTCCTTCCAGAAATGAGTTTCCGGTAATCATATTCTTACTTTACAGTTTCCGACGGGACCCTTATCTTTGCAACCAACAACACTTCTCCAGTCAGGTTAAGCATCTCAGGATGGAAAACAGATTCGAATGAACTTGAGCAGAACAATAGCATATGTTGTACTTATTTCAGTACTCTGGTAAACCTTTTCCCGTTTAGCTCTTAGCGTCCAGCACCATCAACTAAATAAGTCCTTAGGGAATATTTATATTAAGCTGCAATATTATCCTTGACTCCTTGGCAATCAACTTTAAAAAGAATATTAATTTAACATATCCTTAGATATATAATAAAACCCTGAATCGTATCTCATCAATTACGCATCAAAGTGTAAATAACAATCTTTTGAACCTTATGAATGAGTGGATCTCGAAATCGTTTATTAAAAAAAGTTGCATCTGGACAAATACATTTTAAGAAAATCAGTGCACAGTAGTAAAAATCAGACAGGAAGGCGAGGCAGATAAGGGGAAGATGTACTGACCGAATCATGATAAATGCAGGAACCTTCTGGATTGTCATCCTCCGAGAAGACGGCGTTGCAACCGATCCTCTGGCACCGTATCTTCTCCATCTTCTCCGTGGACCGTGAACGAGCACCCCCGCCGGTCTTGCTCTACCACTGAATAAGGCGCCAGACGGCCTGTTAAGGTGTCAAGGTGCCTATAGTCCGGCCTTTTTAAGGCCTTGATCTTTTTAATAATCAAATAGGTAATTCTAAACGCAGCCCATTTTTTTTTGTTATGTACAGCCTCTCGATTAATTTTACTAGTAAACTCACTTGTGCGATGCATCGTTTGAGAATTTTTCTTTCAAATTTATGTGTGGTTAATAATTCAAATCACACTATCAATTGATGAAAATATCTATTTTCATGTAATACTGATATACATCAAAACATTAAACGAAACACACTTATAATACTATGATCAAAATGAGAGTACTAATCATTACTTAAAAGATCAAAAACATCCAACAAATACATTGAAATTGTAACATTGTAAATATGCATTTAATGTAAACATAATCATTGTTGAACACTTCTTTGAATGCAACATTCTGAGCCTTGTCAGTGGTTCCTTCATCTTCATCAACAATTAGAATTTTCAACACAACAATTGGTAACCCTTGATACTGCAATGATGGAGTATATGGCCCAGGAACCCCCGGCCCATACTCTCCTACTTCTCCCACACAGGCCCATTGAGCCCATAGAGCATCCGAGGCCCAAATACAATGGCCCAAGTTCAAGGAAGCCCAAAATACACACTAGAGTGCCTTCGGCCTCCTCGGCCGAGGGTTCCAAATCTCTCAGGGCTGCCGGTTTCAAGCATACGAAGCTACTGGGAAAAAACGGCGTAAAACAGTAGCCCTCGTCTACCAGGAGCCTTCGGCACTCCCATACCTTCGGCTACACAAAGCCCTCGGCCGAAGGGGGAGCCTTCGGCCAACAACTCAATCATCGAAGATTCCCTTTGGAGACAAGCAACCACCGCATTTAATGCAACGTCACATCCACCCACCGTATTCAATGCGGTGCACATGCGATTGCCAGTGCCACCCGATTGAGGTGACCCCTCGGCCGTTGGATTATCGCCACGTGTACTCTCATCGCATTTATTACTACTATAAATAGCACCCTCTTTCCCTGTTGTAAAGGACCAGAACATCTCGAGTTCATAATATAATCTCCTCTCTCTCCTACTTGTTGGCTCTGACTTCTCTCTAGTTATTCCCGCAATAACACCTCGGATAAGATACCCCCCGGGTAGACTATCCATCATTTGGTGCTCTCGTTGAGAGCCAAACAATCAAGTGAGAAACCCTCCCCTCCACCAAACACAAAAAAAACTACCAGAGATGAGAAGAACTCGTGGTCAGTCCAAAACCCTCGAGGAGAACCACCCACGTAGCCCCCGGCGAAACCAACGGGGCCGAAGCCTCCAACAGGCTCTTAGTACCCGAAGGCGGCACTATCGCCGAGATAGAGCAAGCCACCGCTGATCTTCGTCAGCAGCTCCAGAAGGCTGCCCCTGATGCCCGCATCGGCCTTGATAATCGAAGGAAGGATCGGAGCGAGAACCAAGTTCCCTCTCCGGCTTCAACCATCGATCTTCAGGCCGCTTTCGCAGCCTTCGTCTAAAACATGGCGATGAATTCTGGTGCCTTCATACCACAGGCACCCCCCAACCTCATTTCGGGGGAAATGTTGTCCATTTCCCGCCGCCCCCTCCTCTGTTCAACAATCCCATCACACGGATTGGCAACGCCGAGGGGGTCGTGGCTCAGGACACCGCCTCCCAAGAGGTCCAATCCAGGGACAAGCGGCCCGTGAACAAAGAGAAGCCCCAAACCTCTGCCCTCGAGAGGTTGGGAGTAGCTCCTCAACGCCGAGGGGTCCAAGACCGCCTCAGTGGCAAGGCAGTCAGCGGACCCCAAGAAAGTGGAGCCCCTGTCTCGGGGGCCGAAGACAGACCTCCCCCCCCCCGGGACAAAGGCAAGGGCCTCCTCCATCCCGAAGACGCCAGGCATCAAATCAACTAGGCTCAATCCTTCCGGACCAACTCCCAAGGGGTTGTCCCGAAGGACCCCAAGGATGAAATCATCGAAGCCCTCCTCCGTCAGCTCAAGGAGACGGAGCACAGGTGGTTGTCCCGGCACCCCCAACGGCTTCCACGCCGGGGCCAGATCCAGATTATGTCGCCCTCCGAGCACAGGTGGAGGAGATGAAGCGCAAGTTCGCCGAGGGCTCAGATGAACCACTCATTCAACTCTGCACTAGAACGCCATTCACCCCAAGGGTGCTGGCAGCCAAGATCCCCAACAAATACCAGGAGCAACCCATCAGACCATACGAGGGGAAGACGGATCCCCAAGAACAATACAGCAGGTACCAAAATAGTATGATGATGGGGGGCATCGGATGAATACTTGTGCCGTTGGTTTCTTTCCACCTTGGAAGGACCGGCGTATGAGTGGTTCAACCGATTGCCCGAAGGCAGCATAGATTCGTGGCAAGAACTTGCCCACCGCTTCCTCACGCAATTCGCCGGGAGACACCGGTCAAAGAAGCACTTCTCCCACCTTCTGAACGTAAGGCAACAGAAGGAGGAGACCCTTCGGAGTTTTCTTGAGCGCTGGAGGCAAGCCTCCATCGAAGTCGATGGGGCCGACGACAGGACCTTGATGGCCCTCTTCCACACCGTCCTCCGCAACGGTAATTTTTCAAGGAGCCTTATTACTGATCCCCCCCCCCCCCGCGCGATTATACAAAGGCCCTCCAGCGGGGGGACAGATACGCCGAGGCCGAAGAGATTGAGAAGGATCGCCGCAATCCGGAGCCTTCTCAAAAGCATGAGGGCAGGAATCGCCCCGGGGGACCACCCCCTCCGGCAAACCGCGAGGTACAATACAACGATCGTCCCCGAGGTGGCCAAACCAGACCCAGGGGCGGTTACAAGAACAGCCCGAAGGCATGGGCGCAACCCATCCTCCTGGGGCACCCACGCACTCCTCTGACGCATCCCGTCAGCATCATTTTGGATTACGCGGAAGAACGAGGCCTCGTGGAGCGAGACTCCCGAGCACCCCTCGAGATATATGCCATCAACCCTGATGAGCCTTACTGCCGTTTTCACCGCCATCATGGACACAAGACCGATGATTGTCATCAACTGAAGACAACCATCGAGAAATTGATACAGGCGGGCCACTTATCCCAATTCGTCAGGGGCCCTCCTCCACAGGGGCCCCCTCATCACCAAGGGCCACCGCCGAAGGCAAACAAGTGGGTAAACCCGAACACAATTCCCTTGGGAAACCCCCAGGGGAGGAAGCGTGAAATTGGAGGCCTCAGTGAGGAGGAGGACCCCCAATACCAATACAAGCGCCATGTCCACATGATTAATGGGGGCAACACCGGAGGCGACTGATCGGTGTTTTTTTTAGTGAAGTAAAACGTAGTTGGCTAATCCGAAGAATAACCAGACCACGAGTATCGTCTCTCAAGGAGTGGCAAAAAGGAAGTTTTAAATACAGTCCGTGATCACAGGCTAGTACAAGTCATGGTAATCTTTCCGAATAATTTTTTTTTTGGTGATTAAAAAAATTAACTAAAAGCAAGTGCAAAAATAAATAGATGAAAAAAAATAAGTAAATTGATTCAGAATATTAAAACAGGGTTCAAATTGGATGGTTCGGGTTCTGGGTGTTCTTTCGGGATTTGAATTAAGTAAATTAATTTTCAATTATTATTTCTGGAAAGAAAATGAAATGAATTCTCATAGACAAGAATCAGATCAAAATATCACAATCCTAACTTATTTCTAAGATCAGATTGCTTGTATAAGATCCGAGCTAATTTAACTCAAATTCTCATAGACAAGAATTGAATTAAATCCAGAAATTCATATATGAGGTGATCAAATTCATATAGGCAATTATGATTAATCTTATACAATTTTCCAGAAAATTAATTGAATCTTAAAAACTAAATTCACACCCTTAAGAACCCATGAACCCTAGCCCCAATTCAAACCCTATAGGAAATTAGCTTCTCATAATTAAAACTAACATCGCAATAACATTGATAAACATGATAAGCAGCTAGAAATAAAAATTGAACTACGAGTATTAAATTGGGGGAAAAAAAAACTGAAATTGCTAATTAGAGCCAAAGAGATTCGAAATCAATCTAAATTCAAGAATTGGTAATGTGAAACATGTCCAAACTTACAATCATCACTTGGAATCTAAATTGAATTGAGAGAAATTAAAGAAAAGTGAAGTTGAGAAACCTCCTGGGTTCTTTCCTGCTGCTATGGCTAATTCCAAAAGAAGAAGAAAAATACTTGCTGCGGCTAAGTGCTAACGAACGGAAAGAATGGAGTCTCCTGCGGCTGATTTCTCCAAAACAGAAAAGAACTAAAATCCCTCTTGGTGCGGCTGCTGCCAAGTAAAAAGAACGGTGCTCCGGTTTTTTTTCTTCTTTTGGGCTGCTGTTCTTTTTTTTCCTTTTCTTTTTGGATTGCACTTGATAACTTCTAAAGCAAACCGCCAATGATCCAGTCCAAACATAATGTATTATTCACGCAAACTCGGCCTATACAATAACAACTCACCACACCCGCTAATAACATGTAACTTTACAATCAAATTACTCCAAAAATGTTAAATTGTGTAGAAAAATATTATACTGAATATGAATGCCATCGGGACATAAAAATAGCAAATTTTCACTCAAAACCCCCAATAATCATCTTATCAATTATAAAAATTAGACAATTAACACCCAACATATGGTTGAAATGATAGGCACGGAACGAGCCTATCAAATCTCCCCACACTTGAGCGTTGCTTGCCCCCAAGCAACAGTGCATTAAACTCACGGAAAACAAAATAATCACATGTAACACTTGGTTCAGAAATCATTCACACCCCAAAACAAATGACTGCACAAGGTCTTTTCTTCCTTAACAACGAAACCAAGATTTACATGTTAAACACTATTTTCAAAAGTAAAATCCCTCTCCAACCGACTAAAATGTAAAGAAAAGCATGATGGTCCCAACGGTGTAGGTGTGAAATCCAAACCACCAATCGTTCCAAAAACCCAAGAGTTGTGTGATAAAAACCGGTATACTTGTGATTCTCTCTCTCTCTCTTTTTTTTTTTTAATATGAAAAGTTGACCAGGTTTTGGATTACAGGACTGATTCAAGTTTTAGGGCCTGGGAGTTTATCTCATTACTGTGTACTCAACTCACACACGAGGTGATTCGCGAGATGAGCAGAGCCCCATTTCGGGGATGAAATTCTCGACACACGAAGTGTAACCCCATTACAAGAATCAGTTAACTGCTTAGCATGAAGTTATCCCGATATGCTTAGAAAGCAGAGCTCCTAATGGAGTAAGGATTTTCAACCCCTGGCCAGTCAAGCAATTATTGAAGCGAACTAGTGAATCACGAGTAAAACCGAATTTAATCAACACAAATCAAACCATCCAACATGCCAACATTTCCCAAGAATATACACACCACCCCGATGTTTACACCATTACTAATTCTTTCCAGGAAAGATGGAGGAGATGGAAGATTACAAAAGAAAATAAAGATTAACAAGTTACCTCTGTTGCGTTGCTAAACCAGAAAAGAGCTCGTACACCTCAAAATGTTTTTGGGCAGAATAACTTCATCACCAAATGTCATGTCCAAGCTAAAACCAAACCTCCCCACACTTAGGGGTGACATCGCCCTCGAGGTCAAAGAAAAGATTAAAACAAAAATAACAGGGGCAAGTTAAAGAATAAAATGATTTTCAGCCCGGCAGCACATCATAATCAGAATGATAATCAACACAATTCAACAAAGGAGTAATATGAGAGTAAACACCTATTATTAGCAGCGTAGCAAAGTTAGCGGATACCGTACAAGCCAAACTGGGGTGAATAACCTCCATCAAAACTGAGAATCGGGTAGCTCCTTAATCTCTGGTGGTGAGAAAATTGGGCAGTGTGCCTAGAACCAAGATCTTAAGGCTAAAATAGCTCTCTTATTGATGCGTAAATGCTGGAAAATTCTGCACATGAGTGCCTCGATATGCATCTGAAGATCTCTCAACTTCAAACTAAGTGTAGAGAGCTGCCATAACCTGAAAGTGAGGTGTGGATTGCTGCCACACGTACTTGCTCCTGAACTGGATGCTACCTTTTCAAACTAACATGTACGTGCATCTGTGTCTTATGTGTAGGATGACATTCTCAGAAGGCTCTCGGCCCAAGGTATGCTATTGATCATAAAGGAGGCTGCTGGAACCTCTGTATGCACATATGCCGGGCTAGATAACTCAGTAAATGTACTAAAGCTCCTTCCCTTGAAACTGAACCTGATAAGAGTGCGTGGCATCCAACTGTTCCATCCCTCCTGTATTGTGATGCTCCTGGCGACAGAGAAATAGTTCATTCGGCCTACTGTCAATGAGCAGTTGCTCTGGTCCTAAAAAAAATCAGCATGTGACTGCCATCCTGAACCTCCCAACAGCTGGTCAATCTCTCCCTCTGTGGGTACCAAGTTTCTGTCCAGATATCCCAGCTTCTTGAGCATGTGTAGGACTGTAGGTCTCCAACATTAACCCTGCAATTGCTTGAAGCCACGACCAGCCCCACATCCCAATTAGAAGTGCAGACTGCTGCCCGGTGGTTGCTTGCATTATGTATGTTACTGCAGAGGTTATTCTTCACAATGAAGTGAAGAAAGTGCAAATCTGAGCCTCAAAAATCAGCATGTGCTATCCAAAACCTGCCAACACTTAGTTAATTGCTGCCCAGTGACTTCACTTCTTGAGCTAGTGTATGTCTCAAATCTGAATCCAGCTCATATACTGCTCTCCGGCCTACTGTGAGGTAAAATGCAGGAGGTAGCCCTCAGGAACTCCATCAATATAGTTCTGCAATTCTTCCAAAATCTATCCATGAACTCCCTGTCATATCAATAACTCAAAGCAAAGAAATTCAACAGCACCACAAGATGAAAACAAAAAAAATGGGAAAAGAAATGCAAAAAAAAAAAAATAACTTCCTAATTCTATTTTTTTTTTTTTTGGTGGGTTGCCTCCCGAAAGCGCTTCTTTAACGTCACTAGCTTGACAATAGATCATGCTCAGCCGCTAATCTCCTTAAGATAAAGAACCTCCCTTTCAGTGCTCACTTTCTCACCATAATAGAGCTTCACTTGATGACCATTAACCTTAAAGTTTCCCTTTTCAGGATCATGCAACTCAATGGTGCCATACGGATAGACCTCAGTCACAGTAAATGGCCCTGACCATCTGGAACGCAGTTTCCCAGGGAACAACTTCAACCTAGAATTATACAGCAGCACCTGATCTCCAACTCTAAACTCGCGGGATTGCTTGATGTGCCTATCATGATATTGCTTCACTCGGTCCTTATACAAATGGTTGTTGTGGAAGGCCATAGCACGCCACTCTTCAAGCTCATTCAGCTGATAAAATCTCTCCTTTCCAGCCCCTTCAAGGTCAAATACAACATTCTTCAGAGCCCAAAATGCCTTATGCTCGACCTCCACTGGAAGATGGCATGATTTTCCATAAACCAACCTGAATGGTGTGGCGCCAACAGGAGTCTTATATGCTGTTCGAATAGCCCACAAAGCATCATCAAGCTTTTCAGCCCAGTCCTTTCTTGACCGACCAACTGTCTTTTCCAATACTGCCTTGATTTCTCTATTTGAATTTTCAACCTGACCTTGAGACTGGGGATGGTAGGCCACTCCGCTTCTGTGCTGAACACCATATCGCTGAAGGATACGGGCCATAGCGTCACTTCTGAAATGGCTGCCCCTATCACTGATCAAGATCCTGGGAACACCAAATCGTGCAAATAACTTCTTTAAGAACCGGACAACCACCCTTGTGTCATTCGTGGAACATGCTTGGGCCTCCACCCACTTGGACACATAATCAACAGCAACTATTATGAACTTGTTCCCTTTCGAACTCGGGAAAGGGCCCATGAAATCAATTCCCCACACATCGAACACTTCGCATGGCAAAATATAGTGTTGTGGCATCTCATCCCTCCGGGATATGTTCCCAGTCCTCTGGCACTGATCACAAGCTGAAACATAAGCATGAGCATCCTTAAAAATGGTGGGCCAGTAGAATCCACAATCGAGAACTTTCCTGGCAGTCCTCTCTCCTGAGAAGTGACCTCCTGTGGGTCCAGTATGACAATGCATTAGAATCTCCTTTCCTTCTTGTTCAGGTACACATCTTCTCACAACTTGGTCAGCACAAATTTTGAACAAGTATGGATCATCCCAGAAGTAATGCTTGGCTTCAGACTTCAATCTCTTAATCATGTGGCGAGACATCCCGGCAGGTTCAACTTTGCCCACAAGAAAGTTAGCAAGATCTGCATACCAAGGCATCTTTGAACTGTGCTGAATGGCGAGAAGCCTCTCATCTGGAAAAGTCTCTTCAAGCTCAAACTTTTTGAATGTCTCCACCACTTCAGTCTCTAGTCTAGATAGATGATCTGCTGCTTGGTTAGCGGTCCCCTTTCGGTCCTTGATCTCCACATAGAATTCCTGCAACAAAAGAATCCAGCGGAGAAGCCTAGGCCTTGCATCATTCTTCTGAAGTAAATACCTCAAAGCCGCATGGTCAGTGAAGACAATTACCTTAGAAAGAATGATGTAGGGTCTAAATTTCTCCAAAGCAAACACAATAGCCAAAAACTCTTTTTCAGTAGTGGTATAATTGAGCTGAGGCCCCGCTAAAGTCTTACTAGCATAGTAGATAGGGCGAAAGTGCTTATCCTTGGTTTGACCCAGGATAGCCCCAACCACTTGATCGCTAGCATCACACATTATCTCGAAAGGTAAAGACCAATCGGGTGTAGCAAGAATGGGAGCCTCAGTCAATTTCCTTTTCAAAGTATCAAAAGCAACAACACAATCAGGTGAAAAATCAAAAGGTACATCTTTCCCTAAAAGATTAGTCAAAGGTCGGGCAATCTTAGAGAAATCCTGTATGAACCGGCGGTAAAAGCCAGCGTGCCCAAGAAAGCTACGGATGGCTTTTACTGTGGTTGGATACGGAAGTTTCTCTATAGCCTCAACCTTCGCCTTATCAACCTCAATTCCCTTTTCAGAAACCTTATGCCCTAAAACAATGCCCTCCCTGACCATAAAGTGGCATTTCTCCCAACTTAAGGCCAAGTGGGTCTCCTCACATCTAGCAAGCACCCTGTCAAGGTTAGTTAAGCAAGAGTCAAAAGTATCACCGAACACAGAAAAATCATCCATAAATACTTCCATGAAATCTCCAATAAACCTGTCAAAAATGGCTAGCATACAACGCATAAATGTAGCAGGAGCATTACACAAACCGAAGGGCATCCTACGGAAAGCAAAAGTGCCAAAGGGACAAGTAAATGTGGTCTTCTCCTGATCTCTAGGGTCTACATGAATCTGAAAGTACCCACTCATCCCATCTAAGAAACAATAATACCCGTGCCCTGCTAAATTCTCAACTAACTGATCAATAAATGGCAAAGGGAAGTGGTCCTTCCAGGTGGCATCATTTAGTTTTCGGTAATCAATCACCATCCGCCACCCTGACACAATGCGAGTAGGTATTAACTCCCCTTTGTCATTCTCAACAGCAGTCATTCCCCCTTTCTTAGGAACCATATGAATAGGACTCACCCAACTACTATCAGAAATTGGGTATATAATGTCTGCATCTAAAAGCCTCAAAATCTCGGTTCTCACAACCTCCTTCAAATTAGGGTTCAACCTGCGCAGTGGTTGCACTGTCGGGCTGAAGCCTTCCTCAATGCTAATCCTATGTGTGCAAAAGGTAGGATCGATCCCCTTAATATCCCCTAACGTGAGGGCAATGGCCCCTTCACGCCGCCTAAGCAAGGACACAACCTTATCTTTTTCATCTCTCTCTAAATCAGAAGCAATGATAATGGGGTGTTTGCCCTCATCATCCAATGAAGCGTACTGTAGGTGTTCTGGGAGCCTTTTAAGCTCAGAAAACTGCTCACATGGGGGTGTATCAACAACAGTACTACCTGAAACCTCTTGAGAGGCTTCTCCTAGCAAATCATCAACAGAGCATTTAAGTTCATGAGATAACATTTCATCATCACACATACCCACATCTAAGACCTCACCACATGCAGTATCATCAGAATAATCACTCTCACCCTGGCCCCCAAATAAATAATCCTCAATGCACTCATACATATGAAGAAAATTACAGCTCTCAGTTTGTGCCTCGGGGTGGTTCATAACTTCTGAGAGTCGAAAAGTACAAGTGTCCTCTCCAATTCTCAGAGTCAATGAACCATCAGACACATCAATAACAGCACGGGCAGTGGCCAAGAAAGGCCGCCCTAAAATAAGAGGGGTACCACGATCCTCCTCTATATCCATAACGACAAAATCTACAGGAAAAATAAACTCACCAACCCTGACTAGGACGTCCTCAATAATACCACTTGGATACTTAACAGAGCGATCAGCTAATTGAAGACACATCCTAGTGGGTTTCATTCCACCCAGTCCCAACTTATCAACAAGAGAAGCCGGCATCAAGTTGATGCTGGCTCCTAGATCAGCTAGTGCATTTTTAAAAACATAATCATGAATAGAACAAGGTATAATGAAAGAACCTGGATCCTTGAGCTTTTCCGGCATCATCTTTGTCACCACAGCTGAGCACTCTGCATTTAGGTCAACCACAGAGTACTCCTCTAGCCTCTTTTTGTTGGTGATTAAGTCCTTCAGGAACCTTGCATATTTAGGCATCTCTGCAAGTACTTCTGTGAGCGGCATCTCCACATGTAGTTTGCTAATCATCTCCATAAACTTGTATTCTCTCTTGCGGTCCTCGCCCTTCTTGACACGAGCAGGGAATGGAACAACTGGTGCATTAGCCCTCTTGGCCTCTTGTTGGAGTGTATTCGGCTCGATGATTGCCTTGCCCTCTCGCTGGCCCGACTGTTCAGAATTGAACTCTAGTTCATCTTCAGATTGTCTTTGAATAGGTTTTGGGCCTTTGACTGGCTCTGCACTCTTTCCTGGACAGCTAGGAACATTCTTGGCTTGGCTCTCCTTCGCATCCACCATTGGTTCAGGAACTTGCTTCCCACTTCGCAGATTTATTGCATTCACATGCTCTCTTGGGTTTGGCTCTGTAGTGCTGGGAAGGCTTCCAGACTGCCTCCCTGAAGGACCTCCAAAGAGTCTGTTCTCTAGTTCCCGCATTCGCTGCTCATGTTGCATCTCAAGGTTCCTCAACCGCTGCTCCATCAAAATCTTTTCCTCTCTTGCTCTTTTATCTCTTAATTCATTTTCTTCTCTAGCCCGTGTCAGCTCTGCAAGCACCAAATCTAGTTGGGAATGAGCTGAATTATCTTGTTGCCTGATATGTGGGGGCACATAAGGCTGGTTGCTGCCACTTCCTTGGCCTCGTTGGTACCCACCCTGGCGGTTATTATCTCTCCACTGGTTTGCACCACTCTGAAAATTATTCCTCTGGTTGTTGTAGCCAGCAAAGTTACCCCGGTTTCCTTGGTATTGAGGTGCTAGTGGACCCTCTCCTTTCTTAGCATACTCCATAAGATTTACTTCTTGAGGTGAAATGGGCTCTTCAAAGAATTGAGGACATGAATTGGTCAGGTGGGCTCCGAAACAATGATCACACGAAAGCACCATGTCTCTCACTGGATTCTGGTTTGGCATTGGTCGAACACTCCTCTGGTTCATCCCCTGGCCACCTTGGTATTGGTTCTGCGCCTGAGCTTCATAGAGTTTCTCAAACTTTAGGACAAGAGCATCTAGTTTTGCGGCAGCAGCTGTACTAGAATCAACCTCATATAATCCTGCCTTCTGTGGCGCTCTTTCACTTCGCTCATCATACCAGTACCTCTCATTTGAGGTAATAGTCTCTATCAGTTCTTCACCTTCTTCTGATGTTAGCCTTAGGATTGAACCTGTTTTAGAAGAGTAATCCAACTCCTTTTTGCTCTCAATGGACAACCCATTGTAGAAGTGAAATATGGTGTCCATGCTCTCCATGATGTTGGATGGACAGTTAATTCGGAGCTCCTTGTACCGCTCCCATGCCTCACTCAATGTCTCGTTCCTCCCTTGCCTAAAGTTCTGGAGGGCTGCCTTGGCTTTGATTCCTGCGGATGCTGGGCAGTACTGTTTCATGAAAGCTTGGTATAATTCATCCCAGGTGGCAAAAGTGTGGCTATCGAGCCAGTGTTGCGCCTTGTCCCTTAGAGTGAATGGGAACAAAAGTAGTTTGTTAGCTGCTTCAGAAACTCCATTGATTCGGGAAGTCCGACAGAGACGGTTGAACCAACGCATATGTGTCTGGGCGTCTTCATGTCTCATCCCTCCGAACTGGTTACTCTGGGCTAGATTGATTAATCCGGGAGATAGTTGGTAATTTGCAGCTTCAATGCCCGGCATGGTTATTCCATCAACCTCTGCAAATTGCGGAGTAATTTGTTCATACATTGTCCTCCTTGCGGGCTGTTGTTCTCCGGCCATGTTTCTTGACCTTCCTTTTCTTCTTCTCAAAATACTCTCGGGGTTTGGATTCAATGGGATCAAGCCTTCAGTTCCCCGAGCACGTGTGTGCATACACCGGTTCCTGCAGCTTAATTCACGTGCAAAGAACACCAAAAACGACAAAAAAAAAATAACAGGAAAAAAAATAGAAAGTCTCACCGACTTGCTTTTACCTATTCCACAAAAAGTACTTAACAAACAACCGTGCCACTCCCCGGCAACGGCGCCATTTGATCGGTGTTTTTTTTAGTGAAGTAAAACGTAGTTGGCTAATCCGAAGAATAACCAGACCACGAGTATCGTCTCTCAAGGAGTGGCAAAAAGGAAGTTTTAAATACAGTCCGTGATCACAGGCTAGTACAAGTCATGGTAATCTTTCCGAATAATTTTTTTTTTTGGTGATTAAAAAAATTAACTAAAAGCAAGTGCAAAAATAAATAGATGAAAAAAAATAAGTAAATTGATTCAGAATATTAAAACAGGGTTCAAATTGGATGGTTCGGGTTCTGGGTGTTCTTTCGGGATTTGAATTAAGTAAATTAATTTTCAATTATTATTTCTGGAAAGAAAATGAAATGAATTCTCATAGACAAGAATCAGATCAAAATATCACAATCCTAACTTATTTCTAAGATCAGATTGCTTGTATAAGATCCGAGCTAATTTAACTCAAATTCTCATAGACAAGAATTGAATTAAATCCAGAAATTCATATATGAGGTGATCAAATTCATATAGGCAATTATGATTAATCTTATACAATTTTCCAGAAAATTAATTGAATCTTAAAAACTAAATTCACACCCTTAAGAACCCATGAACCCTAGCCCCAATTCAAACCCTATAGGAAATTAGCTTCTCATAATTAAAACTAACATCGCAATAACATTGATAAACATGATAAGCAGCTAGAAATAAAAATTGAACTACGAGTATTAAATTGGGGGAAAAAAAAACTGAAATTGCTAATTAGAGCCAAAGAGATTCGAAATCAATCTAAATTCAAGAATTGGTAATGTGAAACATGTCCAAACTTACAATCATCACTTGGAATCTAAATTGAATTGAGAGAAATTAAAGAAAAGTGAAGTTGAGAAACCTCCTGGGTTCTTTCCTGCTGCTATGGCTAATTCCAAAAGAAGAAGAAAAATACTTGCTGCGGCTAAGTGCTAACGAACGGAAAGAATGGAGTCTCCTGCGGCTGATTTCTCCAAAACAGAAAAGAACTAAAATCCCTCTTGGTGCGGCTGCTGCCAAGTAAAAAGAACGGTGCTCCGGTTTTTTTTCTTCTTTTGGGCTGCTGTTCTTTTTTTTCCTTTTCTTTTTGGATTGCACTTGATAACTTCTAAAGCAAACCGCCAATGATCCAGTCCAAACATAATGTATTATTCACGCAAACTCGGCCTATACAATAACAACTCACCACACCCGCTAATAACATGTAACTTTACAATCAAATTACTCCAAAAATGTTAAATTGTGTAGAAAAATATTATACTGAATATGAATGCCATCGGGACATAAAAATAGCAAATTTTCACTCAAAACCCCCAATAATCATCTTATCAATTATAAAAATTAGACAATTAACACCCAACATATGGTTGAAATGATAGGCACGGAACGAGCCTATCAGCGACTCCACAAGCCAAAGAAAGAAATGGGCTCAATCCCTTTACATTGGGGAGGTCAACCACATGCCCTCGGCTAAGAGGCCGAGAGCGGATCCCATCTTCTTCACAGATGTGGACCTGCCCCCGGGCACTCTTCCTCACAGGGATGCCCTAGTCATCCGCACTGAAATCAATGACGCTGTCATCCTTCGGACCTATGTTGACATGGGGAGTTCTGCCAACGTCATGTACCTCAGCACTTTCCGAGAGCTGGGACTTGACAGAGGAGCCCTTCAGTACATCAACACCCCACTCTCCGGATTCACAGGGGACAGCATCGACGCGGAAGGCGTAATCTCCCTGATGGTTGAATTTGGCGACGGATCCCATAGAGCCAAGCTCGAAGTGGAGTTCGTTGTCGTCAACCTCGACTGCGCCCACAACATCATCCTCGGCCGGCCCGCCCTCGAGGATTTGGAGGTCGTCGTCTCCATGAGGCACCTCTACCTCAAATTCCCCACACCCATAGGCATCGGTTACTCGAGGGGTAATCAGAAGCTCTCCAGGGCTTGCTACCTTCAACTCACCAAGAAGGTTAGTAAAACTGAACTCCGCAATGATACAATCACCACCAATGCCCTGGAAGAGGAAGAAGGCAGGCCGAGGGCTGAGCCTGCCGAGGACACCGAAGACTTTGCACTCGATCCGGCCAAGCCGGAGAGAGTCTTGAAGATTGGAGCCAAGCTCCCCGAAGACCTGAAGACCGGCATCACTGAAGCCCTCCGCGCCTACTCCATTGTTTTTGCATGGGGGGCGGAGGACATGCCGGGGATCGACCGAAGGGTCATCACTCACCGCCTGGCGGTGGACCCTTCGGCCAAACCAGTACAGCAAAAAAGAAGGCCCCTCTCCGCCGAGAGAAGGGAATTTGTGAAGAAAGAGGTCGTCATGCTCCTCTCCATCAAACATATCCGGGAGGTGAAATACCCTTCATGGTTGGCTAATGTGGTCCTTGCACAGAAGCCACCCACCTTCCGCATGTGTGTGGACTACACGGACTTGAACAAAGCGTGCCCTATGGACCCCTTTCCTCTACCAAACATTGATCGGCTGGTAGATGAAACCGTGGGATGCGAAATCATGTCATTCCTCGACGCGTTCCGCGGGTATCATCAAATCTATATGCATGAGGAGGACGCTGAAAAGACGGCCTTCATGACACCCGAGGGCATCTTTTGCTACCTCGTGATGGTCTTCGGCCTAAAAAACTCTGGTGCCACCTACACCCGGATGGTGGCCAGGGTCTTCCAAGCTGTCCTAGGGCACACCATGGAGGCCTATGTCGATGACATGATCGTCAAAAGCAAGAAGGAAAACACCCACGCCGAGGACCTCCGGGAGATATTCGTCATCATGCAAAAGTTCAATCTCCGGCTGAATCCAAAGAAATGCACTTTCGGCGTGCAAGGAGGAAAATTCTTAGGCTACATGATTAGCCGAAGGGGCATTGAGGCCAACCCGAAGAAAATCCAGGCTATCATCAACATGAAGCCTCCACGCAATGTCAAAGAAGTTCAACGGCTGACGGGTCGCCTGGCGGCCCTCAACCGTTTCCTCTCCAGATCAGCGGAGAAGGCCCTCCCCTTCTTCTAAATTAAGAGGAAGACGGTCGGCTTCCAATGGACAACTGAGTGTCAGGAGGCCTTCGACGAACTAAAGAAGTATCTCTCTTCTCCCCCTGTGCTCTCCAAACCCAAGGTAGGGGAGACCTTGTATCTGTACCTTGGCGTTAGCCCCGCAGCCATCAGCTCTGTACTCATTGATAAGTCCATTTTTGTACTTATTTTTCTTATCAAAATTAAGCGATTTTTGATTGAAAATAGAAAGAAAATGCATGTTTTAGATATTGTGGATCAAGTTTCATGAAATCAGGTAAAAATCACATTCATAACATCTTTTGCGAAATTTCGGGTCAATTGCGTGAAGAAAGTGACACTTTTTGCCAACAAATGAATTCCTACGGAAGTTTACAAGATATATTGACCAATTGTTCAATGAAAAGAGTCCAAGTGATGAAGAAATCATCCAAGGAAGTTCAAAACCAAGAAGGAGCCACATATATGGCTACTTTTGATGAAAATGGACGATGCATAGAGACACATGTTCGTATTGTGATCATAACTTTGCGCATAATTGTCCAACGTTCGTGATACGAGTTTCATTGCATTGATATCTTCCTGATCTACAACTCTTATGAAGAACACAGAGCCAAATAACCACCGTAGAATGGACATATTGCTCAAAGAAGTCAGACATTTGCAGTTGCGATGGAAAGTGACACGTGGTCACCGTTTTGACCATATCTCATAAACTACAAATCCAATGAATGTGATTCAAATTCCAGTAGTTAGCCAAGAAAGAGAGCTACAACTTTGGTGAAGACAACTTTTCCATTTGACAAAAGGCGGTCGATCAGGCGGCCGCCTTTCCGGGCACCTATGAGTTTTTGACAGTTTCAGCACTTAACATTTTGCATGGTGACAAAATAATGGAAGGCTGCCGACGGGGGCCGGAGGGCGGCCGCCCTCTGTGGCCGCCTGCGACGGGATGTGATGTACAAGCTACCGGTTGCTGAGACAAGATGAGAGGCGCCCAAAAGGACGGCCGTCTTCCGTGGGCGCCTACGGCGGAATCGACGCATGCATGTAGCTTTGTCGGGGATGTGACCGAAGGCTGCCGGCCATGGCCGGAGGGCGGCCGCCTTCTTGGCCGCCTTCCCAAAATCTCCGGCTATAAAAGCCCTCTTCCATCCCCAACTCAAAACACACAATTTTCAAGCCCAAATCAGATCAAAAAGGGCGTCTTCTTCCTCCGCAAGCTCGGATTTCCACCATTGTTGCACCTTCAACTTCAATCTTTCATATCTTTCTCATTTTAGCTCCAAATTGTGAGTTCTTTATATGTATTATCATCCTTTAAATGTGTAGAATCTGAATCTGTACTTTGTTTGTTCTATCTGTGCTTCAAAAATTCCCAGAAAATTATTACATTATTTCGCATTTTCTTCTTCATTTTGAATAAAATAGTTCTTGATATTGAATTCATTCCAATTAATTATATAGTTGTTTACTATCCTCAAGGTAGTTATTTATCAAAACAAAGTTAATTTTTACGAAGCAGAGGTAGTTTTTAATTAATTCCGGCATTTAGTTGTTATTATTGCATAAATTAAATTAAATACTCAAAAAGGTAAAAAAAAAATTAGTTTCTGTCCTAATTCCAGTTTAATTCACAGTAATATCACTCCCAGTAGTCAATATAAAATTTAGAACGAATTTAGAATAATTTTAGTTGCTTTTTGAATTTTCTAGTTAAAATTGGGAAAATTATCAATTAGTTGTTAAAATTGGATTTTAGGTTCAAAAATTCGTGAAAAATTCCAGAAAGTTATACTTTAGTTTCTACAAGTTTATTGTTCCAGAATATAAGTTTTGCTATCATCCATGTTTAATTCCTTGTTAATGTTGAATATATTCATTATATTGTTAATTGTTAAAATGATCTTTATTAGCTAAATTTGTTTTGGGCATGAATTGACTAAAGGAATATGGATTGACTTGTTGACCAAAAAATTAGGGATTAAAATTAATAATGTGGACTAGTTGTTTGAAATGATGAAACAGTAATTAATAATTGTTAGCCATATTCATTAATTAAATTCTTGGAAAATTATCTCTAACTTGTCTATGAGATTAGAAAATAATTTAAGCCAACCATATTCGAGCACATTAATAAGGTCTAGAAATAGGATAATTTAATGAAAGGGATTTACATCTTGTCTATGAGAGATAAATTCAATTGCTTAAATAATGAGTTTAACTAGTTAATGAATTTGGCTATTTTTATTAATTAAAATATTGGAGAATTATTTCTACCTTGTCTATGAGTTTAGAATTTAATTCAAGACAACCATTTTGAACACATTAATGACACCTAGAAATAGGATAAATTAATGAAAATAGTTTGCATTCTTGTCTATGAGGAAAGAAATTATTAGTCCAATTTTAGTTTTAATTTCCCTAATTACTAGGTCCAAGAATATATCCATTTCTAATTACTCAATTCATTGCCCTTATTTGCATCAATCCATTTAAGTTTAATATTATATTTTTTCTTTAGTTTATTTTTGAGCCATCATTAGTATTTGCACAATTTAATTTACTTTCCTTTCCAAAAAGTAGTTTAGAAAATCAATCAAAAGTTTAATTTGGAAAGCTTCCAATAATTTGCGATAACCTGTGACTGGACTTAAAATCAAGAAACTCCTCCGCCATTCCTTGAGAGACACGATACTCGGGGAAAAACCGAAAGGTTAGACTCCGTTTTACTACAACGCCGCGAAAGCGGTTATCAAATGGCGCCGTTGCCGGGGAATGACACGGTGATTTCTTGATTTTGATTTTAGCATGGGCGAATTCAAATTAGGGAGACTTTCTTTCTCTTTTTCGTTTTGTTCTCACGTGTTTGCTTGAGATTTCCTCATGGATTACTCAAGTGAACACTTTAATTCTCAACCACCATATCACTATCTATACTATGAACAACAAACTTTCCAAAATAATCAAAATGAAGGATACTATGAGCAAGGTTATGAGGATAACAATCATGATTATCAATGGTGCGAAAATCCGCCTTTGGGGTATGGAGATTACCGATTTCAAGAGAATTATTTCCACCAAGGGCAAAACTTTGAAGGCTGTGATGATTTCTCCTATCAAGGTAATTATCATGATGATTTTAATTATCATGAAAATTACCAAGAAAGGCTAGAAAATCATTACACCAGCACAAACGAGTACTCCTACGAGGGTGACTCTGGAATTTCACCTTATCCTCAACACGAGCTCGAAGAGTTAAAATCATCCTTACTCGATTTTGTGGAAGAATTAAAAAGGGCAAGGATTGAACTAGCATCTTGTGACCAAAGTATCAAAGAATTGTTTGAACAAATCAATTATGGCA